TGTGTGGATACATTTTCGACCCGTAATTTGATCAGATCCGCGGTTGAGCCGGGGTCCGTCGCCCCGGGACGCAGAGATTAAAAAAAAAAAAAAATAGTTAAATATTCTTCTCTTGCTGATAGATTTTTTTTTTTTTTTACTCCTGTGGCAGTGGAGACTTCTGGGGTTATTGACCCTCGTTCGATGGCGTTCCTTCGGAGGATTGGCGCGATTGCGTCTCGATTAAGGGACGAGCCTCGCGAAACGGAGTGGCTCTTGCAGTGTGTCTCACTGACGATTGTCCGAGGTAATGCTTTCTCCATCATTTGCGGCTGGCAGAGGATAGCAAAAAAAAAAAAAAAAAGAAAAATTGTTTATAGTTACTTTGTTCAAACGTTTTTTTCAATAAATAAATTTCTCATTAACCAGTTTAAAAAAAAATGCTGTAATTTTTTATTGTAAATTGTTACTTATAAATCGTGTTTAATATTTTTTGTAAATTCTCAAGAACAAAAACAATTTTATAAATTCACTTTCATCATGTGTTTAGGTTTTATTCGTATTCTTACTTTTAAAAAAATAAAAAAAATACCGAAAAACGCCGTTCTGTGTAAGACGATAAACTACATCCGATCTGATTTTACCAGGAGGTTTTGAGAACCGTGGAACTACCTCTTAATTGATGGTGTTCCCAGGTCCACCCTGACCCGGTGTAGTAGCGCCTGTTAGGGTTTCAGCTATGGACAAATAGTTAACTCCCAAACTGGGGTCAAAATACTATGAAAGTGTAAAAATAGGTTTTAATACCAGCAATACATGTTTGCTGTTTGTAAAAAATTATTGCTAGCAATAAATTTTTGAAGAAAAAATTGTTGACACCAGTACATTTTTGGAAAAAAAATTCTACCAGCAATACATTTTTGAAAAATAAAAAAAATTACCAGCAATAAAAATCTTGTCGGCATTAAATAACCCATTGAGGTGTTGATATGCGGTAAAACAAACCAAACCAAACCAAACCAAGCCGAAAAGCGAAGGTAACTAGAAATACGGTGTCAACCGTCTTTTTGACATAACGTTTCATTGTAGGCACGTTTATTCATGTCCACCGTTTTTTATTATTTTAATTGCCTTTTAAACTTTAGGAGTCACTTTTTTTTTCTTCTTTTTTTTTTTTTTTTTTTTTTGTAGGGAGGCACGTACATAAATTCAATGGGCGTCCCTAAAGTAATCTACGATAGAATTTAAATAATGCGTTCGACTTAATAAAGATATTTTGCATGCAATAATTTTATAGCGACTTTGAAATACGCATCACACTCACACACATGTATATATATATATATATATATATATATATATATATATATATATATATATATATATATATAGTTATTTTCTAAGTGTAGCTGAGATGTGGCACAAGGCCGAAAGTATGGGGCACCTAGTGAGGATCGAACTCACTTTTTAGTTGTAACTGATCTAGCGAGATAAGGTTGCTAACCATTACATCACGCCGAGGTGCATATATATATATATATATATATATATATATAGAGAGAGAGAGAGAGAGAGAGAGATTATATTATATATATATATATATATATATATATATATATATATATATATATATATATATATATATATATATATATATATTATATATAGTGTGTGCTAATTACCCGCGGATAATGGCGAGCTGAACAGAAGACCGCACGTCTCCTTAACTCCATTTGCGATCAAATCGTAGAGTGAAGCCCCAGGGAGAGCTTTATAGCAAGCAACATAGCGACAAATGTGCAATTTCCGCTTCCTGCTTTTAGTTGTTTTATTTTTAGTTTTATTTTATCTTATTTTTATTTTGGTTTATTTCTTCTTTTTTTTTTTCTAGAATTTCTTTCGTTTCCAGCTGAATTCGAATTCTGGAAGCACATTTAAACGTCACGTCCGACTAGCTTTGAATAATGGCCCTTATTTATTAGTCTACATGGCTGAGTGTTTAGAACGTTAGCTTCTCTGACCCTGAGCTCCAGGTTCGAATCCCACCATGGTCGATTTGTGACGGAGTTGATGCTACAGGTCTGTTTGGCAGCGATATCCAGCGTGTGACAATTTTGGGAAGTGCATGTGTTGTGATGTGTGGTCTGGCAAGATACAGCGATTAATTCGACAGAGTCAGTCGTGATAGTAATATTTAATGCTCAGCTAGACAAGTCACTGCAATAGTTTTACCGTAATTCCCCATGTATAATACGTCCTCATCCATAATACGCACCCATAAAATTGTGCTGAAAGTGTGGGAAAATGCTTCTATTCACGCATAATACGCACCCCTTGTTTGGTAATCAAACCCTATAAATTGTACCGCTCCATTTCAAGCTGTAATTGAAGATATTTATCAAAATTTCCGATCATCACGATATTGAGTCCCCCCCCACGAGGGTGTCATGTGGCACAAGGCCTTTTTAACGTGGGCAATTCCCAAGCCCATTTGAACCCGTATAAACGGGTTCAGGGCCGGTTTTACCTCCCCGAAGGAGACTCCGCCCTTCGGCGTAGCCTCCTTCGAGTTCCTCCCGCCCGTAGGAAGAGAGTTCGAACCGAGCAGTCGGTTCAAAAGTGAACTACTGACTCACAATTTCCGATCATCACGATTCTAAAAGGAAACGGAAATACCTATATTGTGTCTACTGCGCAGACTCATTAAACTTGTTTTGTTCGATAAAATGTGCAATCTACAGGATCTGTATGTAGTTTTTCACAAAAAATGGTTTTAAACATAGAATAATATTATTCTAATTTAGTTTTATGATAATTCTTATTTTATTTTACATTTCTAAGTATTGTTAGGTACATATGATTGTATTTGACATCCTTATGGGGTCACAATCGCCGAATGTTAGTGTCAAATTGTCGTATGTTTGTGGTGAGTAGTCATTTCGCAACTGAAATCGACCTATGAAACGGCAATTTTTGTACCCGTGCATAATACGCAGCTCTAATTTTGATTTTTTTTTTTAGAAAAAAATGCGTATTATACATGAGGAATTATGGTATCTTCTTTCCTTGCCAAACAGTAACCCAAGACTACTTATCATGAATGAATCAGTCTATTCATGATCGTAAGGAGGATAACTGGCTCTTACCACAACATGAAAACCGAACCAGAGGTTGACCAAAGTTTTTTGAATGAAAGTAGGTAGACAGAACTATTCAAAAAGCAGTCAATGACTGTGCTAACATAAAGTAGCAAGTCATCGTGACCGAGTGTTTGAGCGTACTAGAACGAGAACGCAGCGTCGTAATAGAATTCCAGATGGAAATCATTACACACACTTTCGAACAAATAGCCTTAGATGTAAAGCTATGGATTCATCTAGTCACCCCAAGCTATGGGTTAAATAGTAGAGTAGACTGGACTCTATAGACGTGGTCGGCAACCAATATAGGACAGCTACGAATTAAAAAACACTATGAGTTCCTAACGCGGCCACAAAGTGAGAGATCAGTTTCCATATTGCTTGTAATATAGAATTGACCCCCATTTTATATACACGTTATAGTTTCTTGGTTGTCTATCAGATTCTGATTACATATGACTCCACCTCTTCTCCCCCATGCTATGGGTTAATGAGTGAGGCTTGTAGTCAGTAAATCATTACTGTCTCAAAAGAAATGTTTTACAATCTATAAATATTTTCTGACTTTAAATAGCCTGAAAAGGGTTGATAAGCTGTAAAAAATGAATCGATCTGTATGAGAATCAATTTACAATGAATATGCATAGCAAACCGGTCAACCCTATGAGCTTTGATTAAATTTTAAAATAATAATAATAAAGCCTTCAAAAACAAATCAATCAAAACTCCCTTGGGAAAGATATGAAACTATCTATTCTGTCCTCAGCTATGGGTTAAATAGTAGGGTAGACTGAACTCTCTAGACTTGGTCGGCCGCCAGTATAGAACAACTCTGAATTGAAAAGCCTGTGTGTCCCCTAGAGGAGCACCAATTTGAAGCATTATAATGTGCCGTGTCAATTCATGACGTTGGCGATCATGGCTCTCCACAATTTCCTGTCCTTTGCAGCTCTTAATAAATTTTGTCTTTTTTGTCATCTCTCCTAAACCTTGTTACGTCATCCATTTACTCAAGCTCATTCTTCTTCTTTGTCCTGTGTCCCTTCAGGACGTAGGCGATCATGGCTCTCCACAATTTCCTGCCCTTTGTAACACTTAATAAACTTTGTCTTTTTGTTATTTCTCCTAAACCATGTTCCGCCATCCATTTACCTAAGCTCATTGTTCTTCTATGTGCCATGTCCCTTCAGGACGTTGGTGATGATGGCTCTCCACAATTTCCTATCCTTTGTAGCTCTTAATAAATGTTGTCTTTTTGTTATCTCCCCTAAACCTTGTTCCACCATCCATTTACTCAAGCTCATTCTTCTTCTTCTATGTAATGTGTCCCTTCCTGACGTTAGTGATCATGGCTCTCCACAATTTCCTGTCCTTTGTAGATCTTAAACTTTTTCTTATCTCTCCTAAACCTTGTTCCACCATCCATGTACACTTTGACTAAAAAAGAAACAACGTTACAGCAGCCTTTTCTTCCCCGAATCTGAACAGTGTCCTCAATTCCGAACATCTCGGATATTCGTTTTAGAAGTTGTACTGTATTGACAAGTCAAATTAGGCCAACTTCCGGATTCGCAAAGTGACCAGCGGTAGAGGCATTTCAATAATCCCCGCCCTTAACCCAGTCCGTATTCTAAACAACAAGGCGAACAAAACTCGAAGACATTTTTTTACTTTTCTACCGGTTGCCAGGAGAAATTTGAAATACGAAAAAAAAGAAAGGAAAAACTCGTCAAAACTCCACCCCCAAACTAACAAGCTCAAGAAGAAAAATTCTAATATCCGGTGAGAATTTAAAGACAAGGGAAGAAGCAGCTATCAAATTGATGTTACAATATGTGGACAAGTGGTGATCAAATACCAGATAAACTGTTAACAAAATGGTCAATCATGATAAACCTGCCAGTCAGCCGGTGAATACGTATAAACGCAGCTTGACCATGGAATGTGTTTGTCCTGTAATTTGATCCCAGCGTCTTGGCTACCTCCGACCAGCGGATGAAGACTGTTCACGAGGCATGCAGGAGAAATGCCGCCGAGAGGGGCTCGGGTTAACCTACAAAAGTCACGAAAGGTCGAATGAAAGCGAACTTATGATTAATCAGATGACATGCGGAAAATAAAACGCTAAACATGTATATCTATACACGCAAATAACTTGAAACTGACATGGAGGTGCCGAAAAGTACTCGGTCTGACCACAATGACCTTCAGATAAATAAATAAATGAAACTGAAATAACTTAAAAGAAAGAAAAAAAAATGTCATTTGGTTTTATGTCAAGAAGCGACTCAGATAATTTCCGCTTTTCTTTGTCTATTTTATTCCTTTAAAAATAAAATGACAAATTTGCAATGACTTGTCGCTTCCCAAGCGGCTCTTCGATTCGTTTTGTGTGACATTCTGCAGGTTTTAAGGAGAAAACGTTTTCGATGAACTCTTCAGAGAGAGTGATAGATAAACAGAATGAGAATGAGAGAGAGAGAGAGAAAGCGGGAGTGAGATGAACAGACTAAGAATAAGAGAGAGGGGGAGATGAACAGACTGAGAATGAGAGAGAGTGGGGAGATGAACAGACTGAGAATGAGAGAGAGGAGGGAGATGAACAGACTGAGAATGAGAGAGAGGAGGGAGATGAACAGACTGAGAATGAGAGAGGGGTGGAAAGGAATAGACTGAGAATGAGAGCGAGAGAGAGAGAAAGAGGGAGGGAGATGAACACAGAATGAGAGACAGAGACAGAGAGAGAGAGAGAGAGATCATATTGAAACGTTAAGAGATTGAAATATAGATATGAATCGAAAGAAATGTAGAGAGAAAAGTGAAAGAGCTCAGGCAAATAGATAGATAGATAGATAGATAGATAGATAGACAGACAGACAGAATTAGTGAATGAATCCATCCATCCATATAGAACAGACTGAGAATAAGAGAGAGAGAGAGAGGGAGATCAACAGACTGAGAATAAGAGAGAGTGGAGGGGGGAGATCAACAGACTGAGAATAAAAGAGAGAGAGAGGGGGGAGATGAACAGACCGAGAATAAGAGAGAGTGGAGGGGGGAGATCAGCAGACTGAGAATGAGAGAGAGAGAGAGGGGAGATGAAAGAGAATGAAAGAAAGAGAAATAAATAGTGACCATAGTGAGACGTGAAGAGATTGAAATAAATACAAAGAGATGTAGATAGAAATTGAAAGAGTTCAGATATAGAGATAGATACTGAACAGACGGAGATTAATAAATATATAGATAGATAGGAACAGAATAGACAGATATGTCCGATAAATTTCATAGAAAATATGTGACCTCCGACAGGATTCGAACTTGTATCCTACACGGAGCAATCATTTGGCCTGACGTGCTAAACCATTTATCTACAGAGGAAGCTCCTGGTTAGCAAAGACAAATTGCTGTTTTGGTTTTTTGTTTTAATGGGAAAATTGTTGTTTAAAAACAGTAATTTGACTTTACCAACTGAATAGTATAGCACATCAGGCTAAATGACGATTTCGTATAGGATACTGGTTAGATTCCTCTCGGAGGACACATATTATCTATGAAATTACTCGCACATTCAGGCCGATAGATGTAGTTAATACTGTTTATTATAAACAGAGCATTTACTTAAATGTTTGCATCTATAAAAATAACGTATAAACAGAAAATATATTAAAATAATTGCCGGACTTAGTGCATTTCATAATATATATATATATATATATATATATATATATATATATATATGTGTGTGTGTGTGTGTGTGTGTGTGTGTGTGTGTGTGTGTGTGCAAGTTTCATTAAATATAACAGACAAGGTGCTTTGATTTTTTATATAAGTTTCTATATAATTTCTTATGTGATGTTATAATTTTTTCTTTTCAGTAGATAAATTATATAAAAACTGTCCAAATTTTATATTTTTCCGAGCGCTTTCGGCTATACATTTAACCATTTTCAAGGATGAAATGTATGTATTTATATAATGTTTCATTTTCAAAACAGGGTCAACATATTGGGTTCCGTCTTCACATAAATACATATATACAACAACCTATTTCCCGTTCACAGTTAATATATTTCATCCTTGAAAATGGCTAAATGTATAGCCGAAAGCAAAATGCAACATTTGGACATGGTTTGTATAATTTATTTACGGAAAAGAAAAAATTATAAGATCATATGAGAAATTATATAAAAAAATTTATCAAAGCACCTTGTCTGTCATTTTAATGAAAACTGCATGAAAGAAGGATTGCTGTCTAAATACACAAACACACACACAAACACACACACACACACATATATATATATATATATAATAATGGACTCTCCCGTCGATTTCGACGTATGAGGATCTGACAGTTTATTGATTCAGTTATGAAAGTTTGTGCGATAATCTTAAATGGCATTTAAGACCCGCTAGTGATTTACAAAGGTGGCCACATATGGAGCAAAAGTGAGGATTGTGAGATGAGATCACTGTTAGATTGGCTGACCTTTTAGATCTTGCTCTCGCTTCTTGAAGATGATTCAGGCAAGCAGATTGAAAATTGCTGAGTCCACTAAAACACGTTGATCTCCATTCTACCCTCTCCAAGGCTAAGGCTCAAAGGTGTTATGTGGCATATTGATTGCTGACAATATACCACACACACACACACACACACACACACATATATATATATATATATATATATATATATATATATATATATATATATATATTCATGAAATAAATGACAAGAAGAAAAGCTTTTATATCAGCGCGTTTCCTACCTTGAACGTTATCAAGCCAATTGTAGAAATTTTATTCACGAAGAACTATAAGGTTCCAATTTTGAATTAGAAAACACCCTGAAATAATCTAAAAACTTAGTTGCATGATAGAAAGTTAAACTATGGAGGACTCTAAGGGATATAATTTTTCAGCATTTTAAATGAAATTTAATCAATGTTGCTTTTATTGATTTTTTTACGTACCTATTTATTCATTTTGTTTCTTTATTTAATTTATATATTTTTAAAGTCTATCAGTTAACCGTTTTCTAAATTCATTTATGGTCATCCATACATACGTTGGCTTGAGAAAGAGGTATTTCTTTTAAGAAAGAAGATATGAGTGTCTAAAGCCCTCCCTCGAGGAGTTTATAATACATTATTTATTTTCTCTCAGTTGCGTCTCTGTCTTTGGGCAGAGTGCACTGAGGAAAATGATACCGAGAGATGTCCAGCCCTGGGGAACAGCTGCCCTAGGCCGCGCTCTTTCATTGCACCAGACAGAGGGATCAGTGCCCACACGGGGCCAGCGCAACCGTCACGGACGAAGAAGAATGCAGGAAGAGGGATCTGAAAGAGAAGTTAAAAGGCAAAAGTGACAATGGCCGCTTCAAGGTCAGTTTGTTGGGAACACCAAGCTGCGGGCAATTTCTGTTCCTGGCCCGGGTGTATGCCCTCGGGTGCCCACCTAAAAAAAAACCTTGTGTCACAACTCGTCTTAGTGGGGAGACAGAGTAAATACCTAGAAAAAAATCAAGTGTGTAAATTAACATTCTGGCATGAGCCAGTTACTGCACTTTTGAGAACCTTTCGTCTAAATTAGTTTCCTAAGTACAATATTATTTTACATCGAAGATATGGTTGAAATCATTTCTGTAACAGATGCATTGGATGAATAACTAAGATTATTCTTAGGTTCATAAATACATTGTATTTGTTTCTGGAATTTTTCGCGTTATATTGTAAAGACCAGGGGCTAGAATTTATCTTATTAATGCTATAGATTAATGTTATATTCCGTGCTAAGGGAATAAATACTTAACACCAGGTGGATAATAGAAGAAAGTTTTATTGTACACAACCAGTACAATATGAAATACGGTACAGTTATAGACACAGGTCAATCTAGTAGTTAGTGTCACGAATTGGAAGCTCGGACGTGCTTACGTCGTCTCTCTCTCACTCTCTCTCGCTCTTAATATCTAACAGCCCCCACCCTCCCAACGACGGATATATGTGGCACAAGGCAGATTTTACCATGGGTTCTCCGAGCCCGAAGCTCGGCGAAAAATATTCCCCTAGAACTCACATAACCTCCCCAGACGAAACTTTGCCCTCCAGCAAAAACTCGTCCGGGTTCTTCTCTGCTCAAGGCAAAGAGTTCGACAGTGAAGAACAGGAGAGAGAGCATTATTCTCTCTCTCTCTCTCTCTCTCTCTCTCTCTCTCTCTCTCTTGTAGACAGTTGAATTTATAGGTACTTACTACCTATAGTGTAATCATTCATGGGGGGAGGTGTCTGGTTATTCCATTAAATTAATTAACAATTATTTTTATTATGGTTATATATGTTTCATATCCATAATAGTTTGGGATATAGTTGTAATTAACTTAGTATTAAGATTGCATATAGAATTTTGAATAGAAGATTCCATGTTTTATAATTAATGGAAAAGAAGGAGATGTAGGCCATATCAGCATTGAAGATTGTGTAGCCAGTGAACGTAGATCATTTGGCTTGTACCTGGTAAATAGCGAAGCAACACTCCTAAAATATGTGGCGAAATCTGAACCCTTGTTAAAGAGAGCATTACGGACAAAGAAGAATGCAGGAAGAGGGAATTGAAAGAGAAGTTAAAAGGCAAAAGTGACAATGGCCGCTTCAAGGACAGTTTGTGAGAAACACCAAGGCTATTAAGACAAGAGATGTGTGGGATTGGTTGACGAGAGGGGAACTGAAATGGGAGATTGAAAAACTACTGAGAGCCACTCAAAACCAAGCCCTGGGCTGTAAGTTTCATCAGAAAATAGAGATAATAATAATAATAATAATAATACTGCTACTACTACTAATAATAATAATAATAATGGAGTCAGAAATAGTCTTTGGAAATTTATATGAAATAAGCTTTGGAGTAAAGGTGTGTAAAAAATGAAAATACTTTTGATACACACCAATATATAAAAATAATAGTACTATATGGATGGATGTGTGTTCATTCATTAATTCTATCTATCTATCTATCTATCTATCACTCTGTTCATATCTATCTTAGCCTGTTCATATCTATCTATCTATCTATCTATCTATCTATCTATCTATCTGTCTGTCTATCTATCTATCTTTTCCATGTCTCTATCAATCTATTTATGTAATTCTGTTCTATCTATATATCTATTTATCCATGTCTGTTCATATCTATCTATCTATCAATTCATATTTATCTCATTCTGCGTCTCTATGTATCTATCTATCTATCTATGTCTTTCTGTACATCTATCTATCCATCAATCTATCAGTTCTTATCTATCTATCTATCTATCTATCTATCTATCTATCTATCAGTTCTTATCTATGTATCAGTTCATATCTATCTATCTATCTATCTATCTATCTATCTATGTCTTTCTGTGGTATTGTTTATGTACACGGTGAAATCCGAAAAGAAAGCCTCACGGACGAAGGATAATGCAGGAAGAGAGAACTGAAAGAGAAATTGAAAGCAAACAGTTTGAGAGGAACACCAAGACCATTAAGACAGGAGTTGTGTGGCGTTGGCTGTCGGGAGGCTATGTGAAAGGCGAGACTGGGGGCTTACTTATTGATAACCGCCCAATATTAATCCATGAATCCTATTTTTATCCTGAAGACCATCTATCACCAAATGGATTCGGACAAGTACAGGCTACGCGGCTTGGGGTTGGAAAATGTCATCTATCATCATTAGCTCTTCTAGAACGCAGGCGCAGAAAAAACTTTCGATCATTGCACTTTTCGACCATCTTCAGGCATCTGTCCTAATCAGTAACCTTTTCGTATTTTTGAACCGCACCAGGAGACAATCGGCCTGCTGGATTAGTAAATTGGTTAGAACATATCACAGTCCCTTGAACTTGAGTGTTCAAACCCTCAGTCGGGTAGCGCAGGCGTGTCATACATTCTAGTTAGCAATAGGTACAAAAAATCGCTGTCACTTGAAGCCTTTGCTCGTACAAAACAAATAATAATAATAATAATAATGGATCACTGAAAGTATTACATATCTCCTGCAAAAAAATGGGTGAAATAGATGATCCGAAAAATTATAGACCAATAACATGTCTTCCCACCACGTATAAATTGATCACGTCTGTCCTGACGAACCGTACTTACTCTTCTTTCGAAGCAAACAACATTCTTCCACTGGAACAGAAGTAATGCCGGAGTGGTTCATATGGTTGCAAAGTTCAACTATTGATAAACAAAATGATCCTGGAAAATTGCAGGAAAAAATGTAGAAATCTCAGCAGAGCATGGATAGCTTACCGTAAAGCCTTTGATAGTGTGCCACACTCTTGGATCCTTAAGATTTTTGTAATGTACAAAGTCTCTTTGGTGGTAGTAAATTTTCTTATGGGAATGTGGAAGTTTTAAGAAGAGGAGTTAAAAAATTTTCTCTCTGTAAAATTTTAATCACCACTTTCACCTTTAGGCCTTTCCTGTTCTTCTTTCTTCTATTACACCCCTCTCTAAAGCTTTCATACATTTCAACCTTGTTTCCCACCCCCACACATACACTCTCACTAAAATTTTGTTTTTTTATACCCGGAGTTATATTTTCCGATTTCTTTTTGAATTTGTAGGTCTGATGAATTGGACCGTGATTACAATTCCAATGTAATAAATTATAACCATGGAGTATTAGTGTTTGAGCTATTTTATATATATATATATATATATGTGTGTGTGTGTGTGTGTGTGTGTGTGTGTGTGTGTGTGTGTGTGTGTGTGTGTAAAAATATATAGAAAATAAGAAGGAACTCGTTAGGTAAATAATCCAAAGTTCTTTAGTGTTTTTGTTATTATTTTTAAAAAAAAAAATAGTGCTCGATACAAAAGTAGAGCATAAATATAATTATTTATTTAAAAATATGATTCCAACACGCTACATAAGAGTTTTCATGTTTCAAAACAAGAGCCGAAAACTGATATATATATATATATATATATATATATATATATATATATATATATATATATATATATATATATATATATATATATATATATGAAGAAATATAGTTTTAGGGTGTGCTATATTTATGGGATAAAGTGCTCATTATCGGAGATAGAGTGTATGTAAATATAAATATAAAAGTGAACATTGAAGTCGACACTTAGAGGCGACAGGCTGTTTCATAGACGCAATCGTCAGGCGTGACGATTGCGTCAAGCATGAAACAGCATATATATATATATATATATATATATGTGTGTGTGTGTGTGTATATAATAAAAGCGAATGTCAGCGTGTCACTAGTCGCTAAACGAGCTGGTCGCTAAACGAGCCGGTCGCTAAGTGAGAACGTGTACCTGACCACTGTTTCAGGTATTCTCCATCAAAAAATATACATATGTATCATAAGCTTATTAGACAATAAATTCTAAATAAAGAGGACTGCTATTTTTTTATGTTATGAGATTTTATAGATGGTCGTAATTTCAGGTAGTTAATAGTAAAGTCGTTAAGTGAGGAGTGTCTGTCATAATAATAATATTCGATTAAAAATCTCGTAAAACTTGTTTAGTCAGGTCTCACGCCCAAACAGAAACAATGAGCTTACTAACTATTGTCCCACTCGGAGACACCTTAAAATTAGACTGGCATAAGGCCACAACCTTTGAGTATCTTAGTAAGTATAAAAATCCTTCCAGTAGCAATGAGCTGCTAGGTTAGCTAGTACATATTTCTCTCATGGTGTGGGAGCGACTGGTTAAAATAGAACAAACTACAGTAGTAATATGATGCAAGACACTCATTCTAACCATGTCTACAATTTGAGGTGTCCAAAGCTGAACTTAGTTTGGCACAAGGCTAAAAGCACTGAGCGCCTGGTGATAAGCGTAGACACTACTGTGCAAGACATTCATTCTAACCATATCTACAATTTGAGGTCCCCAAAGCTGAACTTAGTTTGGCACAAGGCTAAAAGGACTGAGCGCCCGGTGATAAGCGTAGACACTACTGTGCAAGACATTCATTCTAACCATATCTACAATTTGAGGTGCCCATAGCTGAACTTAGTTTGGCACAAGGCTAAAAGTAATGAGCACCTGGTGATAAGCGTAGACACGACTGTGCTAGACATTCATTCTAACCATATCTACAATTTGAGGTGCCCAAAGCTGAACTTAGTTTGGCACAAGGCTAAAAGCACTGAGCGCCTGGTGATAAGCGTAGACACTACTGTGCAAGACATTCATTCTAACCATATCTACAATTTGAGGTCCCCAAAGCTGAACTTAGTTTTGGCACAAGGCTAAAAGCACTGAGCGCCTGGTGATAAGCGTAGACACTACTGTGCAAGACAATCATTCTAACCATATCTACAATTTGAGGTCCCCAAAGCTGAACTTAGTTTGGCACAAGGCTAAAAGCACTGAGCGCCTGGTGATAAGCGTAGACACTACTGTGCAAGACATTCATTCTAACCATATCTACAATTTGAGGTCCCCAAAGCTGAACTTAGTTTGGCACAAGGCTAAAAGCACTGAGCGCCTGGTGATAAGCGTAGATACTACTGTGCAAGACATTCATTCTAACCATATCTACAATTTGAGGTGTCCAAAGCTGAACTTAGTTTGGCACAAGGTTAAAAACAATGAGCGCCTGAAGATAATCAAACTCTCTACAGTGGTAATATCATGCAAGACACTTATTCTATGTCTACAATTTGAGGTAACCTAAGCTGAATTTAGTCTGGCACAAGGTTACACGTTTGGAGCTTCTGGTGATAATCGAACTTGCTACAGTCGAAATATGTCAAGCCTCGCTTTTTAACCATAGCTCCAGACGTATTAAACCGAACTTAGTCTGGCATAAGGTCAATAAAGCGGGCACGCACCTATAGCAGGTCGAACTCAATTTATTAATAATGAACGACCAGTCTAGTTTGCTAATTCCTGCGACAAGGGGCGGGGTTAGTCTGACTCTAAAAACTATTTTTTTATTTTTTTTTGTCAAAACCTTCTTTTCTTTCTGTTTCTCGTTCATTTTTTATCTTCTTTTAGCCTCTCTTTCTCTCTCTCTCTCTCTTCCTCGACATATATATATATAGCCGCCTTTTCTGTCATCTGTTTCTCTTTCACGTTCTTTCTTTCATTCAACTCGTGTTTCATATAATAAATGCTCTGTCGGGTGGTTCCACAGCTTGGATAACATGTTCTGCGCGTCATTCTGTTGTTGTGTGTGGGGGGTGGGGCTTTATGACCAGCAATATTAAAGACACTTTTACCGACATCAGTAGGAAAGAGAAAGAAATTGAGAGAGAAAGATAGAGAGAAAGAAAAAAGAAAAGGAAAACAAGTGTGTGAAGAGAGGCTGAGAATATCCTACGTTAAATATCTAAAGTGCAGACGACAGAAATTATGACGTCATCTATAAGACGACTGTATTTTGCAAGATCTAGAAATTCGTTCTTGATGGTGATGTTAGCAGTTATTTTTTTTTTAACTCACGTAGCAGAAATATTGCTGTGTCAGTGAAACATCTTTTTCTTTAAGTCTATATACGGAAGCAAAATTATATTGGCGTAAAAAAAAAATTAAAAAAAGAACAGAAATTTAAACATCCGGGAAGATACAGGCGACCCTTCAATCCTACACCGTACTTTTTATCCCCACTGGAATAATCTCAGATCGTTAATAAAAATGCTGTTCCATGGGAAAAATTGAAAAATAGCTTCTAACTTTGAATCTAGTCGGCCTAGTGGGAGCACTCCGCGATTTCAAAGGTAGGTAACAAAACTTGCTATGCGCAACAACTAGTCGATGACCAAGTGGGGTACGGCCCCGATCCACCGCCCATCAACAATGGCAACGACCCCTGTTTTCGTATATTTGGGCTCAGAATTTTTCAACATGGGCGACCTCCTCACGGAGATCAACAGAAGATATAGACTGGCTGCAGGTGTCATGGGAGACCTCTTGAGACTAGTATAACAACGTCGTCACATCTCCCAACATACCAAGTTCTGACTTTACAAAATCCACCGTCCTCTCAGCGCCACTATACCAGAGTACCGGCCAGCCGAACATCCTCCGCCCCGTCGCTAAGCGCAGTGTTCGCTGGTTTGGTCACGTCCTGCGATGACCTGGTGACTAACCTACCAGCATCATCTACCACTTTGACGTGTCATCTGCAAACTAGAGATGACTTCGTGGCAGATCACGCAACCTCTGGAAGGACGTCGTCCGCCAGGTATTCCGGCATATTAATTTGGCGTTGGAGAATGCTCCGACCGCCTGCCAAGACAGTGAAATCTGGAGGGACCAAATGGCTCTCGTGGGCTCAACGCCTTTATGGCGTGAGATTTAGCAGTAGCATAGGAGATAAGGGAGCGGAACACGAGTTAGGGGTAGCTTTGCGCAACACCCCAAGATACTACAAGAAATATTGACCTAAGTACTCGAATCATGTTCTTAAATAGA